CCCTACGAGTCTTGTCCCCCAAGACTACTCTGGCTGCACTACGCCATTACTCCTACGTGTCTGGCTGGAGCTGTGCCCCACTTCACGGACAGGGTGAGCCACCAGACCTGCCCTGGAAAGAGGAAGGGCTCTGCACCCCCTCTGCCTCCACCATGTGATACCCACAAGCATCCCCATCAGATGACTGAGACATTATCTACCCCAGACATATGACTGGGTAAGTCTGTCCCATACCGTATCCTTGCCGAGGGCAGGCATAAAATTACAATTGCAAACACACATGAATGCATCAGTGAGATACTCTACTGCAAATTCAGAGCACTCTCTTAGATGTTAAGGAGGTAACAGTTTGCAGCGAGGACAATAGTTTTTCCCACAAGTGAAAATCAAGCAGTAATTTGTTTATTTTCACTGTGGCCACTTCTGCCTGTTTCAAGTTCCTGGGCAGGACAGGGAGGATTAACGTAATTTGCATTAGGCTGTGCTATGAGCACCAAGGGAAACTAGGATCCAAATCCTGCTGTAGCGTGTACTCATTGAGGAAAACACGACAGCCAGCAGTAAAAGCAAACCAAATACACCTCAGTTTGAACTGCTGCTAGGTGCACTCCTGCTGTGCTCTCCACGTGGAGAAGAACTGTCCCCAAATTTTTATGAAACTGCCCCTCATTTACATGTCAGTCAATTCAGTTTCCACCTACATTCCCTACTGACAGTGTTACTGATTTTATACCTTATGCTACCGTATCTAAACATATTAACAGTTGCTGCCTCACCTCACATCTGAAAGGTTTCTCTCCAGAATGCTGTAGGGAATGGACTTTGAGAGACATACTGCGTTTGAATGATTTTCCACAGGTTTCACATGTAAAAGGCATGTCCTTTGTGTGTGCTGCAACACAACAGTACAGTAGAGAGGGTCATTCAAATGCAAACAGTTCTTTAACCAATTTTTTCCTCCAGCTCTGAGCAGGAAAATGATTATTACTGAACAGCTTGTAAGCATATACACGTATGTACACACACACAGATTCTGCTTGCTGCCCAGTACTACAGACTTGAACTTTTTGCTAAGGATAAAGCTCAGACAACTGAATTTGCCTTATTATTTTCCTCCTCAAAACAGCAATTACAAGTTAAGAACCACAATGACACATTATGAGGCAGAACCAACAGAAGTGCCGATCAATAACTCACCAACCATATGTTTCCGCACGTGGGCCATGGTGTAGAACTTTTTTTCGCAAATCTCACAAGAGAATTTCTTTTCTGCGTATCCGTGGACAATCTTGATATGTTCATGGAGGGACCAGAGCTTCTTGAATGATTTATTACAGGAAACGCACTGAATGAATGGGATAAATAGAAGGAAGTTTAAATTAGAAAGATTCAGTGATTCAAGTGGAGTTAAGCCATGTATCTTCCTCTCGCATGACAAAAAGCCCAGAACGAGTCAAAACGCTGTATACTGTCTCAGACTGTACTTCAGCTTACATTTACTGTTTCACACTTGAAACAATGACACTAAGAAAAGCCAGATCAAGCAGGATTAGAGAGGATGTTAACACACTGCATTTTGGTGCCACCTGAAGAACACCACAGCCACTTGCGCTAACTGATTTCCGAAACACAACAGCATCTAGAGCTGGATGCAGCCCTCAAGGAGCTAACACGGAGAAGACAACTTCACAAGCACTGATGCTGCTGCTGCTGCGGGAAGAATCCAAACCCCTGGTGTGGGAAGAAGCCAACAGAGGTGGAGGAGGCCAACGCCACCAAGTTGCCTTAAACCCATCTGCGTGTCCAGCCCTGTCTTCCACAGGAGCACTGTGACCCCTCAAACTCCAGGTCTAACAGCCCCTGAACTAGTCAAAGCTCTCCCATCCTTATAGCTCTATATAGAAGACAGCTTCCATCTTGCAGCTCTTGACCATGCGGAGAGTCTGGTACACAGTTCATACAGCAAAGCAAGCTGTCACCTCCGTCTTTCGTGTTCTGACTCTTCATTTATATCTGTCAGTAGCACTATAGATCTAAAATGACCACGTGCAAACAAACAATGTTTTAATCTCTTCCCACAACTACTGTGAAATGTCCAGAAAGTCAGCGACGAGCAGGATCCAAAGGCTTTCACGCATCTCTTTTTCCCAGCAGTTAGTTCTTGCTAAAGACTTGATAAAAAAAATATTTGTACGATTTTGAGAATTCCAGAATAATCTTAGTTGTGAAACTTGATAGCAGACACATACGTGAGGATACCAAGTAATTTTCATCTTTGAAGTGAAGAGGAAGGAACTGTGGCTTGTTATTGTTTTTCTTAGTTGTTGGGGTGCCTGGGGTTTTTGGTACATCTCCATTTTTCTGCCCATCCTTCCCTCGAAGTAAGAAGGGCTGTATGCTGTCCACTGCAGAACTAGCAAATACCATGCCTTCTGTCAACTTGAGTTGTTTCTTCTCTGCATAGACAAGTTATGCTGCTTCCACAGCGCTTCAGTCTCTGCAGGCCTGGAAACTCTGGTACACCGTGCACCATGCTGACTGCAAGGAGAGCCTCTGCCTCCAAAAGCACCTCCTTGGAGGCATGTCAGGAACAAACTGTAGTCTTTGGGGGGGAAAAAACCCTACAGAATAAAGCAATGCTCAGAAATGATGAAAAATCCTTTGATTTAAGGTTAAGCAAGCCCTTGAAGCAGTCAGTCTACAATTTAATTGATGATTAGCAGCAAGTAGTTTTTTTCTCACTAATACTGAGAGCTACTACACAGAGAGTCTAAGATGACAACAGAAATTCTGTGAAAGCGCTAATTTTGAAAGGATGGAAACAAGAGATTACCTGGAAAAACAGATATATTCCATCACTTAGATGAAAAAAATATAGAGAGGAGCCAGCCATGTTTATCAGTTCAATCACCACTTACAAAATGAAAACACTTTTTTTCCTAGACAAAGCTCCATATCCCTCTTGTCATATTAAACCCTACATTAATGTAAAACTTTCATATCCCCTTACTCCTTTTGCCAAGTGTAATAAAAACAAATTAGCAGGCAGCTGTGAAACACATTCCAAATGTCAGGACAGACAAAAATAATTGCTGAATATATGCTTATACTGAGAACTTGAAGAGGACTAGCAGTGCTTCTGGCACTAGAAATATTTGGGAAAGTTTCTGGACCCGATTCTTCTGGTACTGGATAGAGAACACAATTTCTACAATTTCTTCTTTTCCTATCACTTTTGGACAAAGGAGTGTAACCCCTCAGAAGCATATGGGTGCACAGATTACAGGATGCTTCTCCATTCTATACCATGCACAAACTATTCATGAATTCCTGTTTAAATTCAAAAGATTTTATGCTGTGAGTGAGCCACCTGGATGCTAGGGCATTGCTTACATTTACATGTTCTCTGCTACACTAAACTTTTGAAGTATTTATTTCAAAAACCGCAAGGACATACTGAAATGTTCGTGCATTTTACTAACTATGCTCAAGGCTCATTATCTTATCTTATACTCCTTCCTTCAGTCTTCCTCCTATGAGCTGAAACATAAGGAAAAATAGCATAGCGTTATATAGAGCTGCATTTGAGTCTTACAGCAAAGAGAAATTGCAATAAATATTTCATGTCTCCCACACAGTGGGAATTGAATACAGATTCAGTTTAGCATTTAAGCAAACAAACAAACAAAATCTTAAATCTTTCTGGTAAAACACACTGGACAGACAAAAAAACTTGTTGCTCTACAAACACTCAACATTTCAGCTCCACAGAAATTGAACTCAAGCTGCTTCGTGCTGGCAGTGGGATTATTTCAGAAGTAGGTGGCAACACTGCCTAGTTTAACAAGGCAAAAAAAGCATGTTCGAATCGCCAGATAAAACAACAGTGCCCCCAGTTACATGAGAACATAGATGCCTATGAGCAAAGTACAAACCACAAATGAATCAGAAACTCTGAAACTCTTTCCACAACTTAAAACTTTAAAATGGTTCTATTACAACACAGGCTTCCATTGTTGTATAAAATTAAAAGCTGCAAATCTTCTGGTGAGAAAGACCAGAGATCTTTATATTATCAGTGAGATTTACTGAGCTTTTTGCAGTGGGAAAAGGGCAGGCTCGTGAACAGATTTACTTGCTGAATTCATACGCTTCCATACGCATACACGAACACTACTGTAAATTACTTGTACATAATTATCTCAGTAGGATTTTAAAAAGGTACATTTCAACACAAGTTCAAACCCTGACTTCACTAGTTTCCTTCTCACCTGCTTGCCTCTCCGGTATTTTACAAATTTCTGATTCCAATACCAGCGAAGTGCCAAAATTCCGTTCTCCCTTGAAACCTTACCTGGACACACTCTGCGACTGAGTTTCAGGACACTGAAACACTTTGAACTTTAAAGCTAGCGATAGCTGCAGGTGCTCAGCACCTGAAGAAGGAGGGTTTATCCTGTCAAAGTACTTCACTGCAAATGCACTTGTTTTCAGGCCAGTTACTCTTGAGTCTGACATTTGTTAAAGTAGTTTTGCGTTTTCCCCAACTCGTAGTTAAATACTAGAGTAACTCTGCTAAAGCAGATGTCAGTTGTACACTCTGTTCCCTGCAATTTACTTCTTTTGGAAGACACCAAAGTGTTGATACGTAGAGACAAGGTCTCGGTCAGAACCTGGTCTGTGCAAAAGATTTCCCCCTCTGAAGTGTCCGCTAGCTGTATCCAGGGCACGACAGAAGGTATGGAAATCTGGCAAGCAGGTGAGCAAACCTACCTGGATATTTTTTTCACAGTCTGTTTGCTGGTGAAGGGACAGCTCACTTTCTAGAACAAATTTCTTCCCACATTTGTCGCAGATCTGCATGCGCCTGTGAGTGACGTTCATGTGCTTCTCCAGGTACCAGCGTGTGTTAAACACCCTGGGGCACTTCTCACAGGTTAAAGTCTCCTTCTCTTCACACTTTGATTTCTGCACAGGTGCCTTGGGCTCCTTTGCAGCTTTCTTCTTACGCTTGGGGGGCTCCACACTCTGGGGAAGTTGTGGCTGCTGCAGCAGATGCAGCTCTCCTTGTTCTCCTTTGTGCAACACTAACTTTTTCCACTCTTTTCTCTTTTTTCTTCTGCCTCTCATTTTCCTCATCATCATTACTGTCTTCAGTGGCCTCTTCCCCACTGTCACCCTCCTCTTCCTCACTGCTGGTCTTAAGAACAGCAGTCTCTTTGGACTGGGAGGGGACACCCTTCTCCCCTTTTGATACATTTAATGTTTGGTTGTTAAGGTTTACCTCTACTATAATCTGCTCCCTTTTGTAAGTCACTTCATCTTCCTCCTCTTCTTCCTCCTCAGAGTCGTCAGAGTTTTCTCTGTCTTCTTTCACAGCCCGGACCTCTCCTACCGATCTGTTCTCCCTGAAATATGGCTGCTCCTCTCTTTCATGGAGATGTGGTTTACTCATTTTGCTGTCCACCAGCACAGAGTAAGGACTTCCTGACTCTCTCTTGTACACTTTGGTGGACAGATCAAGTTCCTGGCTGGCACCATGATAAAACGTGGGTGGCACTTGACCACGGTGACTGTCCTCTTGCGCCATCCCTGCTACATGCGCGGCACAGTTTTCAACCAACTGTTGGCAAGAATTGGCTGTTTGACTCATTTGGGGGGCCCCGATTCATTGAGCACCTTTAATCCCAGAAAACCAAGTAAGCAGCTTTACATCAGGATGGACTCTCAAGACCGATGCCTGTTCCATCTACACAGGATGAACAAAATAGGATTCTCTGCTGGTGTTTAGCACTGATGTGTAGGTCACAGAATTCTGGTATTATGGCAAGAGCAGAGCAGTAGTAATTATTGTTCTGAAGAAAGTTGCCAACGAACCGTTGAACATTTTATCTGTAAGAGACAACAGAGAAAACAAAGTCAATTAAAAAAAAAATCACTAAAGTCTTCAGCAAAACCTTTTGTTTTGAGTTTGTACAACTGGGGTAAAGCACAGGGTGTATTATCTATGAGCTGTATCTGCTGGGGGTAGACTGTCCTATAGCACTATCTCAAGCAAAACTGGCAGTTCGGTGCAAATATGTGCACCTGGTGCTAGACTCCTGAGATATGGAAATCAAGGCATGCTGTCCATTTCAAAATGAAGATTCTCCACCCACCAAAGATCACCGCCACCTGCCTCAATGCTGGGCCAAGACGCTGATCTGCGTTTCTCCTGGGCACTCGGGAGCACTGATGGCCCCAAGACTCTGCTCTACTCCTGTACACCTCTCCATCAAACAAGGTGCATACCTACACAGAAATAAATACCTCTTCTCCTTCTCTATCTCCCAAAGGGAGCCCATCCTCACCCAGAAAGAGGACATATTATACCGAACAACATTCCATTAACATAGATATGCATGAAGAATTTCAATGGAGGCATTTTCGACTTGCAGCACTAAATCAGATTAAGAACACCATGTCCCCTGCTTGTTTCCACCTCAGAGATCCCTCATACAGCCTCTTGATTTAAGGCAGTTACTCTTTTGTCTCATTATCCCTTCCCCCAGCTACTTATTCCTCAGTGCAGTAGCCAAACAATATTACATTTGTCCATCTAAATTTCACTTGCAGTTATCCAAGTTGGAATTTGACCAGGACACTGTTACTTCCTCTTGCAAAAAATGCCACGTGATCCCTAATGAATACAAGTAATCAAGTTCTCGCATCTATTTTTTGCCAGGACAATTACGTTTTGGTAGTGCAGTATTGCAACATCAAGCCAAGATTTTTGGCTGTGCAAATCAAGTCAGAAATAAATTGTAACCCCTAACCAAACAGCATATTCGGAACTAAACCTGCAACTAGAGGGTGCAGAAGAGGAGAATTAAGGACAGTGACTAAGAGACATCCCATGACAGAGAAGGGCCCTAGCAGAAAATGGATGGATTGAGCAGCTAAGAATGAAGAAAATTGGATCCCCACTACCGGAGTCTGAAAATTTCCTTGAGGCTATAAGCTTGGGCTAAGTCCAGCAGACAGGTATAAAACACTTGGATTTCGCAGACTCAGATGGCCATTTTTATTATTAGTATTCTTGGAGCAACAATAAAAAGCAACCAACCTAAAGCACTATTACAGACATGGGGTTTTATGATAAATTTCCTTCCACATCGTACTGAGTTAAAATACTCTCCACACTACAAATGCAGTAACTTCCATCCAAACATGTTTTGATACAATTTATAGATTATAGTTTCTATTTACTCTTCCACCAGAAATTTCCCCCTTTGAACAGGAGATGAACCTACCAACGGGCTCGGTGGTTTGAATAATAAAAAAGACTGAACCTTGCCCTACAATCTTTGTGAAGCGAGATGCTGGGGAAAGTGACTGACCTATAACCAGTCGTCTGATTACCAGCTTACAGTTAATTAAACAGATTCTTCAACAGTTCTCCAATATTTCCAAAGGCACTCAAAAAGCGCCCTGAAGATGCCTGACAGAGTGACCCGCAGACAGACTCACAGCACTGCAGCAGCGGGGTCTATTCCCGCTGCTCCACGCTCGCTCCATCCTCAGCAGGGTCTCAGGTCGCAGCTTCCCAGCTCCAGAGGTGAGGCGGGACGACGAGTGCCAAGACCCAGCTGGGCCAGGCAATACGTGGAGATGGGCTGTTAACATTGGCTTGTGATCACAAGTAATATTCTGATGGAAAAACTAGTAAATAATAAAATAAACTGGTTGTGATTGCAAGCCAAAATTAACAACCCTATACCCACGAAGGCCCTTAGAAAGCTGTGGGCATGATGAAATCCACTGTTTAGCTTTCCCTTTAACAAACTTTAATGAATTATTCAGAAGCTCAGAAAATCACTATGTCATGTAGAAAATGATACCCGATTATTTCCTCAGCATATTAAGCATCTCTCAAGCTGCATGAGTAAATCAGGAAGGCTATCAGAATGCTGCTGCTAGATAGCCAGCAAAAAAAAGGGGGGGGGGGGGAACTTTGATAAAAAAAAGGGGCACAAAAAAAAGTCTTCCCCCCCCCCCCCCCCATTTACTGAATGTTGAAATATTCTCTTTCCATATCCTGCCATCATTTCACCTCTGCTCATTTAAGGAATATTCTGTATAATAAACCACTTTGTATGAACACAGTACCACTTCAAATAAAAACAACAAAGGGGCTTATTCTGAGTTATCAAAGCTATTTGGTCTTAAAACCACTTCACTCTGCAGAATCAGTAACCCACTTTCACTTTGAATACACCGCCTGCTACCCTCAAGGGACCCGCAACTTTCGAACAACATTATTTAACAGTCAAACAGCTGGTAAAGCAAAGCCCTCCTTACAGATTTTATACCATCAACGCACTCCTAGACTCCGGACAATTCTGAGCGACAGTAGTTTAAATACTCCGTGAAATATTTTCATAGAAGACTTTTTTCCTTAAGTTTCTAATCCTAAATGTAAGAAAGCAGCATTTGGGTGTTTCTATTTTTGCCTTTTTTTTAAAGGTGAATCCACTTTTTTCAAAGCTGCTGAACAGCTTGGGCTCACAGAGTGAATTTCAGCCATACTACAAAAGGCTCTGATTAAAATGTAAAAAGGATACACAGTTTCAAAGCAATTTTTGAAGAAGCCTAGCTAGATATAAAACTGAGGAATAACTGTATTACGAGCATAGAACGAACATACGAAGTGCGTGCAACACTTAGCAATCAAAGACCATACAAGAAAGGTTTGCAAGCCTACCGAGATTAAAGGCTCAAACCCAGAAAAAAGTACAAACAACTTGCAGACAAACGTGTAGGTGGAGGAAGCATGTGTATGTGGGAGCAACACTTCATACAATGCTTTCGCTACTTCTGAAGAAAAACCGCATTTCTTCACATTATCTGTACTAAAAATAGAACAACTTAGAGCAGAGCGCGCTAGCAGAATTACCTGTCCCAACTCGGGCTCAACCGATGAGCTCAAATCAGCACAGACCAAGTGCAATATAGTCAGAGGTTAAGGACCTTAAATTAGTCCTCGGTTTGCCCTCAGGGAGGGACCAGCCTGACAGTCTCTCTCTTATTTTTGTCTAACCTGTGCCAAGGAGGTACGATTTGACTTCTGGCAAGCATCCACCAGAAGCAGACACTGATGTAAAGAAAAACACCGCTTCTTCCAGCTTTTGTAGTAAGCGAGGTGGTTGCACGGTCATTTCTGCGCATCCAGGCTGCCTGTAGCTGCGGACCCCCGCACGGCCTACAGCCGTTTGCCTGCTATCACACCCAGGCTGCCAGCTGCCCGCTCCGCGGACGGACACTGCGCTGCTCATCCCTTCTGCCTGGATGTTTCTGGGGGCTCCCATAAAGGACAGGAGAGGCACTTTGGGGCACTCCACAGCCATGACCCTGCCACTCCTGGTCAATGTGACACTGGCCTATTTTTTTTTTTTTTTCTTTTAAAAACCAGTTTAATTGCTGCCCATAGAAAGTTATCAATATTAGCTCTGCAAATTGACAGACGCTGGTCTAATTCACTTTGCTGTAGGTTGGCAAGTCTAGAAGGCTGCAAGCACAAGGGTGATTTGTCTACTGACACAAAGACGGCACTGTATCGATTTATTACTTAGTTAACATCTGGAAGTTCCCCCCACTCCTCCCAGATAGCCATAAGGACCAGAAAATCCCTTTAAAAAAAGACCCATGCCTCAATTCACAAATCAGTGGCGTTTGCCACAGAAGTTCTGCGCGCACCATAAGGAAAAAGAGGAGGAAGGGTGAGAGCTTGGGGCTTTCCTGCAGCTCACCTACTTCTTGCATGAAAAGTGAATACTATGAAAAAAGAGATTGCAATAGTCAATGTTCAACATTAAAAAGGCATTCATTTATTAGCCATCCATTATTTTCCTTCTTTGTTTTAACACAGAAGATAATTTTTTGTTTCTGTTTACAAGCCACGCGTACTAGAGTAAGTAGTGCTCGCACCCTTACTATTGCTCACAAGACACCAAAATTATTTCTCCAAAAGCGTACAGCACCTGATACGTGGGGGAATCTGAGCCACAGCAAGCACTGCAGCACCAGAATACCACACCGCTTGTACAAACACCACAAATAATTTGCACGCTTTCCTTACAACACAAGACCGGTAACTTCACACCAGACAACCCCCAAAACTACTTCTCCCCTCTTCAGTTTAAGAGCAGACAGATCTCAGTTTAACAGCAGCTTTTTAATGGATGCAATCAGGAGGCACTGCAGGGCATGAATAGGTTTTCCACTCTGCCATTTAGGTATATAGACCACTGTATATAAAACCAAGTTCAATGAGAAAGTTTGAGTATCTTGAAATTTGAAGTTTTCTTTTCCATAAAACAAAACTTCTCTCAAACTACAGTTAGAGAAACTAAAAAAGTTAGGAAAAAAATTGCAACTGTGTTATAATTAAAGGCAATGCCATTTTGCATATGCATTAACAACCTGAAGTTGTTAAGGATCCTGCACGTCTTTTGGTTGGAAGCTACAATCCAGCAGCTCCATTAAGTCCTGGGGCAACCAGATTTGCACACAGTTTACAAGCAGTGAAACAACCACATGCATAAATAAATAGTTTACATTATTTAAGGTAATGTGCCAATTTCAAACTAGTCAAGTAGTTGTTGAAGAAACTACACTCAGAGCAGGACGGAGGCAGTGGTTGCAGGTTGGGGGGATTGATTAAATACAGCTCCAACATTACGCCAAACCTGGGACATGCTGCAGGCTGGACACCGCTCAAATTTCTAACCAAAACCGCAGCCCCAGCTTCCCTGCTTCCTGAAGCTGGGTCAA